GACAAATAAAAGGTGCTGTGACCTGTGTTTTCAAATTGCTGGCCCTCTGCTCAAATGTCCCATTCCAAAAAGTGGAAGCAATTGGTGTATTTTCAGAAGGGTGGTAATTCCTGCTTTCTACAGCATCTTGGCTTATCTCTAACCTGTAAAATGTTTAGATTATTTGAAATGATCCCTGAGAAATTGAGGTATTGGAAACTTTCACAAGGGTTTTAAAAACGTTTGTTGGGTGCTGTCAAGTCAATCTTGACTCATAGCGAGTCCATGTGACAGAGTAGAACTGCCCGTAGGGTAATCTTTACGGGAACCGATCCCACTGAGCCACTGGGTGGGTTTGAACTGTCAACCTTTCTGTTAGTAGATGAGCTCAAACCATTTGTGCCACCAGGAACTGCCCGAGAGGGAGCTGGCACAAGAAAAAAAGATCAGAAGCCAGAGAGGGGAAAACTCGAGCCAGGCATTTCTTTGGGCAGGTGGTCTGCAACGGTCCCTAATTTTATTGATCAGTTATTAAATTACGTATTTCAACTTGTCGGGAGTGGCTATTTTAAAGTTATGAAGTACCTTAAGTATCCAGTCTTATAAGGATTCGAGCTATGAATGTTTAGATGTTTGACCGTAAATCATGTTTTAGATATTTCAGGCAGATTTCAGATGGTGTCTGGTAGCAGCGAATTCTCCAGGCAATACGTAAGATTCGCTCATTTAACCTTCAACAAATCCGTAATACCTTCTTGTATGCGCCAGACCTCTGGTTCTCTTCACCACGAAGGCAACCATTCAAAACACGTCAGAGGAAGAAATGATGGTGATTGCTGTTAATCTAAATGTTGTATTCACCAACACCCCCTGTGTTCTTTTTGCTCACAGCCGTGTGGTAGGGTGGAAAACTAACAGATTCACAATCTGTGAGCGCAGTCTTGTAACACATTAAAAACAAATTCCAGTCTTCCAAGAGAAAGTAGTGGGTCACCAGCTGCCTTCTCTTGTCAATTTTCATGTCTGGCTTGAGTGCATCCACTGTCAAAAGGTCCCAGTTCTAGAAAGACCGGACAACTGGTCTCTTGTGTGGTGATGGGCTAAGAAGTGTCCGGAAGTGGCCCTGGGTTGCCTGGACAGAGAGCTAGCCGAGACCATCCCTCCCACCTCTCAGGTGTGACGACCGCCCCCAAGTCCTGCTTCCTACAGAGCTGAGGGCTTCCCTGCGTAGGTGTTGAAAGAAAAAAATCCCATCAATAAGTCAATTCACGTGAGATTTTTATTGGGCAGAAGAAACTGTCGTTGAACAGGGAGCACCCCTCCAAGGAGGTGAGCCGGTCACATTACAATGTTGATCCGCTTATATACAGCACAAACGGGATTTCCCAAAAGGGAAATTCAAAATGGTTGGTTGTCATTCACTTCATCGGCAGGAGGTGGCTTGGATTGGTTGATTAAGTTTGCGTGTTGGCATTCTGTAGGCTAGATATGGCTGACCGAATTATTGAAACTCTTCCCAGAACTGTCTTTTTATCGCGAGTTTTTAGTTTCTCTGAAGGGTTAAGAGTTAAGTTTAAATGGGGGTGGCGGGGTCGAGGGACATTTTCTTTAACACAGGGGATGGCAGC